ACACTGAGATATCATCTCCCTCCAGTTAGACTGGCTATTATTTAAACAAAATGAGAATAAGAGATACTGGCAAGGAGGCAGAGAAAGGGGAACCTTCCTACACTTTTTGTTGGACTATAAATTAGTGCAGCCATTTTGGAAAACAGTATGGAGGTTCCTCAAACAACTACAGATAGTACTGCTGTATGATCCGGCTGTTCCTCTGCTCAGTATATACCCAAAGGAATGGAAATCATCATATCAAAGGGATATCTATTCTCCCATGTTTACTGAAGCTCTATTTACAACAGGCAAGAGTTGGAACCAACCTAAATGTCCATCAGCAGATGGCTGGATAAAGAAAAAGTGGTATATATACACAGTGGAATACTCCTCTGCCATAAAAAAGAATGAAATTCTGCCATTTGCAGCAACATGGATGAACTTAGAAAATTATGTTAAGTGAAATAAACCAGACACAGGAAGATAAATACCACATATCTTCACACATAAGTGGGAGCTAAAAAAATAAACAAATAAATAAAAAAAGAAAGAAAGAAAGATACAATGATCATGATAATTTGTTGAACTTTCAAAAGCAGAGAACAGAACTGTGGTTACTAGAGGCAGGAAAGGGGGAGGAGGCGGCTAGCAAGAAACTTGCAGAAGGCCACAAATAATGATTACTTCTTGTAATGGTGAATATACTAATTATCTTGACTTGATCATCACATATTGTACATAGGTATTGATATTCAACCCTGTAACCCATGATTACGTATAATCAATTATGTTTCAAAAAAAAAAATTAAAAACATTTTTTCAGACCGTGGTTCCCCATGAATAACTGAAACTGCAGGAAGTAAAACTGTGGATAAAGGGGACTACTGTATTACTTTACACATTTAAGTGGAATTCAGTGGGTGGCATTCAGAGTTATTAATCCAGAAAAGAATTTTGCTCTATTTTCTACGTATATACCTTAATTTTTATCTCAAAAATACATAAAATATTTTGATGTACTCATTAGCTTGAACCGAAGATTATCTGACATCTTTTCTCTCTTGAGGAGAAAGAGTGAAAAAGTACAAAATGGTTTATTGAAGAAGACTAGCAATTCTACAGTTAAACTTAAAAATATAAAAATGTATTCCTATTTCTAAACAGTTTAACTCTCATATATAAAGAATAAAGTTAATAAATCCATGTATCCAATGTAAGTCACCAATTTTATTTCAAATTTGATAAAAAAATTTTCAATGTCTCATTCCTCTATTTTGTAGGCTAAGTAGAAAGTATTATGAAACGTCTATTTTCAATATTGTACATCTAGTGAGTCAACATAGGGCAATTGCTACATAGGTAAGATGTCCATATAATTTATTGTCCAAATTGGGGCAGTTTTGAGAATTAGAATGTGCACTACTAACACTCACACTAGGGCAGCGGGTGTACATTACGACTGTCCTCAGCAAACCAGAATACTTGGTCACCCCATAGACAGATGTAAGGGAAGTACATTTTCCCCCCATGGTTTTTGTGTAATAGAGGGGAGGGAATTTCCAGAATAGTATGGAAGAACCACTTCCATGTTTTTATTTCTTTTCTTTTTTTTTTTTGCGTCTTATCTTATTCCTCCTAAGAGAAGGAGGAATGGTTTTGCTGATTGATGAGTTTGGGAGAAGAAACTGGACTTAAAATCTCCAAGTATAACTATTGCCAAAGCAATCAATACAGTGCTTGCTATTTCTGAAAAAGAAAGATTTCCCCAAATGCCTGTTGCAGATGTTTCTGATGTTATATAAAAAGATAATTCTTTGCTTCTTAATTCTAAGTTTAAATACCCATATGGATTTCTGGAAAATTAGTTTTAAACATATCCCTCTCCTCACCACAGCCTGCTCAACTGCAAATCTTTTAATAATTTTCAGATAGAATGTTCTTTTTAAAGGAGTTCTTTTTTCTCCATTTTACATATCATCAAAGGATGCCTTCTCTGTTCCTGAGAATCCTCTGTTTAATTTCTAATAAATAAAGATAATTAGATCTAAATTGAACTCACGTCTTTCAGTATTCATTAACAGTGCTTTAATTAGGTAATAAATCAAGTTCCATCTACTTTATTTTGTATATTCTTGAGCTACATTTCTTTTTTTTTTTTTTTCCTTTTTGTCTTTTTCATGACCGGCAACGGATCGCAACCCTCAGTGTCGCGCCCATCCGGCAACGGGATCGCAACCCTTGGTGTTGCGCCCACACCTCGCTCAGCCAGTGAGCGGCCGGTCTATATGTGGGATCTGAACCCTGGGCAGGAGCTCTCAAGCGGCGCACTGTAGCAGTGCGCCACTGGGCCGGTCCTTGAGCTACATTTCTTATTAATTTATACTTAAAGACCCTATAGAGGTCTTGCACAAGTTTTGAACCTTTTCTTTAATTTAGTTTTCTCTTTAATTATGCTGGTAACCAGAAATACATCTGGCTTTTATATATTAATCTTATATTCAGTTGGCTACCTGTTAAACTCTCCCATTATTTCAAATAGTTTATAGATTGTTTGCATTTTCTACGTAAACAATAATGTTTGAAAATGACAATTTTATTTTTTCCTTTCCAATTCTTATATCTTTAAAGGAAAGGGGTATAAATGGATTTATGTTATTGTAAAGTTAGTACATTTGTGAAGTGTGGAGTGTAAAATGTGAAGTGGGAAGTGTGAACTAAAAAGTGAAAGCAAAAGTGTCAGTTATGAAATGTAAAGTGTGAATAGAAAGACTACTGACCGTGAAAAGGCATTGATTTAAGTGATTATATTATTAGTCCCAGAACAACCACTAGCAACATCATAAAAAGAGGTATTACTAAGAAGCCAGTAGATAAATTAAAATGGAATGACATAAAAAAAATTCAATTAGCCTAAAAGAAGGCAGGAAAGCACAGTAAATTAGCAAAAAGAAAAGATCCAAAAAGAAAATAAGTAGCAATATTATAAGTTAAAATCAACTACACTAATAATTATATTATGTGCAAATGGACTAAATACACACGTTAAATGGCAGAAATTATCAGACTAAATTTGCTGTCTATAAGATCTAGTTGTATACTTTGAATAATAAAAATGGCTTGAAAAAAGAATAAGATTTTAGCAAACATCGTGTGGAAAGAATTCACTACATTTAAAAATTCATATGACTCATAATGCATAATTTTGTCACGGTAGTAGAAGTTTGTTATAAAATGCATACTGGGAACCAAGATAATAGACTAGTGATAAAGACAGATGGTACATCATTTGTAGACACAGAAAATATGATTAAAATCACCTAGAAGAGGAAACTTGTAACTGGATTTTACTGAAGCACAATATTTTGGATTTTTACCCCTTTGTTTCTAAAAAGTTTAATGTGATATGACATTTAACAAAGGTTTTCTTACAAGGATATACCCAACATGTGCAGTCATGACATGAGGGAGGCAAAGAATAATATTTGTGGAGAGTGGGCACTCTTACATTCCCGCTGAGCAACGGACAAGATGAAGAAAAAGGTTTTCTCTTCCTTTTTTGGCGGGGAGGGGAAGAGCCATAGTAAGATCCCATGCTTAGGTAAGAGTGAAGGGATTGGAGCTATCTATCATGACTTGGAGATTCCTCTGGTGCCATAATATACATTTTACACAAAGCCAGTGTGCTCAATAATATTCAATTTATTTGAAAAAGTAAATTATCATTCACATTTGTTGATTAAAAAATTCAATGCACAGATAGCCAATGACTTACTCATGTTTGTTTATAAACCTGCAGTGACATATTTCAAGAGTTGACATGATTTTGGTTGGAGTTTTTCCTGTATTTAATACATTAAAGACAGCAAGAACTATATAAGAAATACAGTAATGTATGACTCTTAAAAAGAGACTGAGTTTAATTACATTAGAGGAAAATCTGTGATTCCTTTATTTTAAAACAGGTATATGATAAAATAATTTTAATACAAAACTTCTTATTGCTTTCAGGGTGAGATCTCATTGGCTGGAATGCACAAACTATTAGTCCTTATATTCAGGGAAGATTTTTTGGCACTTTTTGTCCTAATTAGAAGAGATTAAAGAGCCAAGTTTCATTTGGGATTTAACCGCTGAAAGTACAGTTTAATTTCTTTGTGGGAAACCATGGAGTTAAAGAATTAATAGGTTTTTAGACTTATTTATGTACCAGAGAGAAGATGAGAGCACCACAGTTCATAATCAACAACAGGTAATTGGTATCTGTACCTGTTTTCTATTTCCATCTGTGCTAGCTCTCTGTTTTAAAAACAAGCAAATATGTGAGCAAGCCTCTGAGGCCAGTGCATTTCAAATGCATAGGTATTACCAACTGTTAATACAATTTTTTTCTTTTTGTTCTATTTAAAATTTGTTAAAAATGCCAATATGTGTTCATTTTTAACTGGGCGTGTTCTTGGAGTCACTCTTCCTGTAAAAAATAAGGAAATATGGCAATCCATTCAGACTTTCTTTCGTACTTTCCGTTACAGCCAAAGGATTTTCAGTACAGGATGGTTTGGGTCAGTGTACTCAGAGTTATAGAAACCAGAATGGCAAGCAGATAGAGTTTGCATAGCTGAAGATTTGTGCAAAAGTTTTTACTCACTGGATTTTTCCTTGGCATTTTAAGTAAAAAAAAAACAAAAACAAAAATAAAAAATTCATCTTTCTTCTCTGGTTTAGAAGAAACTATAAATTAGGCCTAAGTCCTTTTTCAAACTTAGACTTTAAAATGTAATCGCCTCACATCTGTCTATAGAGTGACCAGACTTCTGGTTTCCTGAGGACAGTCACAGTTTATTCCCATTGGCCTAGTGTGAGTGTTGGTGCACATTTCAATTCTCAAAACTGTCCCAATTTACACAATAAGTTATATTTATTATGTACTGTACAACTAAAGCGACATTTGACTTCATGATGTACAATTTTGCTCCTTCTTACTGTTAAGGAGACTGCTACAGTGCTGAAAACTACAGGCCATGCGTCACCTGTGGCTGGCCCGCTTAGGAGAGCTGCTGCTCTCTGTCGTGTGTACTCAGCCAGCCCTCAAGCCTGCAATGCCTCCAGTGCTCAAGAACCAGCCTTTCAACGTCTTCTGGGCCGCCCCAACAATGAATTGTCAAAATTTCTTCAATGTGAACAAGAATCTTCAAGTATTTAACATTCTATCAAATCCTTTAGTGACTCAGAGTGGATCGATAATTGCCATTTTTTATCCAGATGAATTAGGGTATTACCCTTATTCCTCTCAAGATGGAACATCCTTTAATGGAGGGATACCCCAGAATATGAGCCTTTCTAAACACCTTAGGAAAACTGCCGATGACATTGCAAAACCTGTCCCTGGGTGGCGATCAGAAGGACTTGTTGTTATTGACTGGCAAAGTTGGAAACCCCAATGGGACAGAAATCGGGGCACAGAATCATATATAAAAATCACTCCTTAGCCTTCACTAGAAACCTCCATCCTGATTGGTCAGAAAGGAAAGTGAAAACAGTTGCCCAGCAGGAATTCGAACATGCTGAACATGCTGGCAGGAGTTTTATGAACATTACCCTCACACTGGCTTTGGAAATGAGACCAAAATGTTTATGGGGCTTTTATCCCTATCAGGTTGCTACAATTATGATTGTAAGATAAATCCAGAGAGCTACACAGGTGATTGCCCAAATGAGGAAATTTTCCGCAATGACCAACTCCTGTGGCTGTGGGAAAAAAGCACGGCACTTTATCCTTCAATATATTTGGATAAAATATTGAAGTCAAGTTTAAGTACATTAAAATTTATTCATTCTTGAGATAGAGAAGCCATTAAAATTGCTGAAATGACTAGACATGACTATGTTTTACCAGTTTTTATTTTTTCCAGACCATTTTATTTGTATGGCATAATAAAAAAATAAAAAATAATAGCTCTATCACAGGTGAGAAAAACTATAGTTACATAAAAAACAGAAATCTATAAGTAGATTGATAGATAAATAAAGCTTAAAATTAAATGTTCTAGGATATTTATTCTCCCTTAATAATAGAATGCTATTCTGTTATTAAAGGCCTATATGTATTTCTTCAAATGTCAACCCATTCTGAAACAGTGTCATTGACAATTAGATGTGTAGATAGAGTTTTTCAATGATGATTCTTACTAGTTTAGCATTCCCAGGGATTTCCTGCAGAACGGTTGTTAAACTTGAGTTAAATAATGTAATAGATAAATTTCAACCAGGGATAAATTGCAGAATCAGCTTCTAATATGAGAGTGTAGCAACAATTTTCCAAATTGAAATTATACACAATAGAGTCTGAGGAAACTTATTAACGCACCATATTTTTTGTTATATTGCATTTTTTTTTGTTTTAGTAGATTAGGTTAACTGAAAAAAATAACATATATTCTGTTGACTTTAAGAATTTACAATCATATCTAGTGGTTAGTGTCAAGGCATTAAAAGTAGTTTATATAAACAGACAAATACTGTCTTTAGAATTAACACAAAGCAAGGAGCACAAAGGTGGGATGGGTTTGTATGGAAGATGAGTTTACAGACACTGACAATGTTCAAGCTTTAGCTGAATTGTCACTTAGGACATTGGGCATTATTGTAAGGGTGCAATCATTGAATGGGCAGGTTAGATAAGAGAATCTTTACATCTCTATCCATACCTGACAGCCAACAAATCTATTATTCCAGTACCTAACAGACAAGCAGAGCTGTTAGATGTACAATACACAGCTCACTTTCTCAGACCACTTATGTTTAAATGAGTATATTTAAAAGAAGTAGCAATTCTTTAAAAAAATATTTCAGAATAAAATCTCTTGATCCAAATATTATTAATCAGACTTGACATTCTCATCATTGCAGGATTACTAAGTATAATTGAAAATGGTGTGTTCATTCAATAAGTTTAGGAGAAAAAGAATTATAGCATCATGGCAGAAAGTCGGAGGATTCTCAGAGGTGTCTAATCTACCTCCCACCCAAACATGAATCCTTTCTTACCTTGTCTTTGCTTTCGTACTTTTTGATGGGACATTTCCTAATTCAGAAGGAAAACTGCCATTTTGAGACAATATTAATTCCTAGAAAGTTCTTGAGTATGTCAAATTTAGGCATCTGGATAACTTCATACCATTAGTTCTAATTCTACCTTTTTGTACAATGTAGAATAAATCAAATCTTCTTTCAAAAGCCAGTTGTTTGTGTATTTTAAGTCATCAGCCATTCCTACCAAAGACTTCTTTCTCTCTGATATCCCTCAAGTGACAGATCTCTCAAATCATGTCACTTCTTCAAATCCTTTTGGGAAAAATACTAGGCTATATTTATTCAATCAAAATTATTTATTGAGTACATACCATGTGTCAGGAATAATATAATATTAGTAATAACAGTAGAAAGTAATAGTAATCCATGCAGTCAGATAGTTTATCTTGGTAGAAGATAGGAGAATGAGATGAGCCACATCTTCATGAAAGTCTTATTCATTGCTTTCCTATTTTTTGTACTATGAGAGTTTTGAAGTAAATTATGAGCTATGTATCACCTCTGAGCTCTACTTCAGTAATCAACAGAACACATACTCTACTCATCAAAAGGTGTAGAATTACCTGAGTTGAAGTGTTTTAATGCTTTCCTGTTGCCTTCGATGTTTCCCATATGGACAAACAGTATAGGTTTTTCTAACCAATTGTCTAAGTAACTTAACTTTTTAAGGCAATTTTTTTTTCCAACTCTACTTGGTATTTTCTTTAAGAAGTGTTTGAATTTAAATAAGAGACTTGATTTGTGTTTAAGGAATTTGATACTAGCTAGTATAATTAAATTTCTTGCATTAATTAGACAAATTGTAGAACACATGTACTAGTATTACTGGGACCTTCCTCTAAAGAAGGAAGCGTGCTGTGGCATGGCTGTTTACCCACTGCAGTCCTTGAGCACTCCACCTTTGCACTGGATCTGTGAGTCTCCACTTCTTGTAGAGCAGGAAGGAATGCAGATTGCTCCATCAGACATCCCCTCTATCTTTCATCTCTCCCTATTTCCGGCTTCTTGGCCCTTGGCCTGCAATCGTAAACATAATAACCTCCTCAGTTTCTTATCTCAGTGAATTATAATCTACTTAGTCACCCAACTTGAAAGTTACTTGGATGCCTCCCTGTTTCTCTTTTTATTATCCAACAGGTAACCAAGATGTATGCACCTTAATTTCCAAATAACTCTTCAATCTCTCCCTTCTTTCAAGGACTGACATTGCCTTTGTTGAGGGCTCATCATTTCTCACTGAATAATTTCCATCATCTTCTAAATAGTGCCCCTGCCTACAGCATCTTGACCTTCCCCTCCAATGCATTCTTTATGTGACAGCCAAAAATATGTTTCAGAGTTGCATATTTGTGTCTTTCCAGTACTAAACATTTTTTGTAGTTAAGACCTAACACTTTAAAATAGAATTTTTCTTTCTATTTGGATTGTGCTTGTATATAAAAGGAATCATATGTTTTCACTTCTCCCCAAATCCTGTGTACTTTCTGACAAGGAGTTACTGGCAGTTTTCTGAAATGACCATGCTCTTGCCTACATTCATGCCTCTGCTCTTATTTTTCCTTCTGGACATAAAACTTTGCTCTTTCTAGTCTGTCTTCAGACAATTCACATTCTCAAAGACCTATTTGAAATTCCACCTATTCAAGGAAGAATAACCAGACTCGTCAGTGAAGTACTAAGCACTTTCTCTGATCTATGTATGCCTTGTGGGTGCTACTAATACAGAAATTAATTCATTATATAGTGATTAGTTGTTTATATATGTCTGTCTCAGCCATCACAGTAAAGTGCTCCCTCGAGAAAAGGAATTGGAATCTATTTCATTGCCTGGAACATCAAAATATTTATCAAATAAACGTAAGAATCCAAAACAGAATCACCTTTCCCCATTCTGCTATAGTCCTTTGTTTTAGAAACAAAAATAAAAATTATTAATGTGTTCTTTACTATAGTTGATAAGTTGAGTCTTATTATTGAATTGTCTAATGTCTAAGTTTGCTTTGGAAGAAACTTTTCTAGGAGGACTTAGTACATACAATTGGTGAAAGTGCTGCATTGGAGGCATCAGGAATAATATTGTGGGGAGAATATAAATATTCTGCTTCAAAGGTAAGCAATGATTCCTCTGTCAACATCTTGAATATATTCTATATACATATTTTTAAAAATTTTCACATCAGAGCCAAATGGTTGCTGATATCTGCTCACTTGACTTTAATGAAGTTCAAAGAGTACAGAGACCAACATTGTTTAAGCACCTACTCTATAACCAGCCTCTGTGCTTAGTAGAAGAACGGAAAGAACACAGTCTTTCCAATCAGAAAGCCCTAGTGAGAAACTGATTTTTACATTCTAGGGGTGTAATTTTGGTCATATTGAGGAACCTCTCTGAGTCTCAACTTCTTCATCTAAGTAACTCAAATAAAGCCTACTTTGCAGGAACTTAGGTAGATTAAATGGCATAATATCTATGTGACAGAAAAAGAATATTACATTTAAAAAATAAATAAATAATTAGTTCATCCACTCTTAAGAGGGTGAATTTTCCAAAAATGATTCTTTACCTAGCCGATCACCTATGAAAATGTATGTAGGAAGAAAAAATATTTGTACATAAAGGCTCATGAACAATCTACTCTTTTCTTTTGTGGTAAGAACACTTAACATGAAATCTACCCTCTAACAAATTGTGAATTTGCACACTACAGTATTGTTAACTATAAACACTGTGTTGTACAGCAGATCTCTAGAACTTCTTTATATAGCGTAATGGGAACTTTATTCCCTTTGAATAACAATTCCCCATTTCGTTGACCCCCAGTTCCCATCAACTGCTATTATAGTCCCTGCTTCTGTGAGTTTGACTACTTTAGATACCTCACATAAGTGGAATCATGCAGTATCTGGCCCTCTGAGACTGCCTTATGTCACTTAGCATAATGTTCTCCAGGTTCATCTCTGTTGTCACAAATGGCAGTATTTTTTTTTCTTTTTTAAGGCTGACTGATATTCCACTGTATGTATATATCACATTCGCTTTATGCATTCATCTGTCAATTGCATTATGCAATCTAAGTGACTGGACACTTAGATTGTTTCCATATCTTGGCTTTTGTGAGTAGTGCTGCAATAAACACAGGAGTGCAGAGATCTCTTTGAGATTGCGATTTCAATTCTTTTGGATATATACCCAGAAACAGATGCTGGATCATATAGTACTTCTATTTTTAATTTGGGGGGAAACTTTTGAACAGTTTTCCATAGATGCTATACCATTTTACATTCCCACCAACAGGGTATAAGAGTTCCAACTTCTCTACAACCTCACCAACATGTGTTATCTTTTGTTTTTTCAATAATAGCCATGCTAATAGATGTGAGGTTTTATCTTATTGTAGTATTGATTTACATTTTCCAGATAATTAATGATGTTGAGCATCTTTTAATATATCTGTTGGCTATTTGTATGTTTATTTTGGAGAAATGTTTGTTCAAATCCTTTGCCTATTTTTGATTGGGTTGTGATTTTATTGTTGTTGTTGTCTTTGCTATTGAGTTGTAGGAGTTCCTCATACATTCTGGATACTAACCCCTTATTAGATAGAGGATTTGCAAATATTCTCTAAGATTTCAAAGTTTGCCTTTTAATTCTATTTATTGTCACCTTTACTGTTCAGAAGATTCTTAGTTTTGTATAGTCTCACTTGTCCATTTTTTGCTTTCAATGCCAGTACTTTTGGTGTTATATCAAGAAATAATTGCCAAGACAAAAGTCAAAAAGCTTTCTCCCTTTGGTTTCTTCTAAAAGTTTTACAGTTTAGATCTTGAGTTAAGTCTTTAATCCATTTTGAGTTGATTTTTGTGTCTAGATAAGAGTCCAATTTAATGTTTTGCATGTGAATATCCAGTTTTTCCAACTCTATTTGTTGAAGGCTATCCTTTCCCTATTATGTGTTCTTGGCACCCTTGTCAAAGGTCAGTTGACCACTTATATATGTGGGTTTATTTCTGGACTCTCTATTATGTTCCTTTGACCTATATGTCTTTCTTTGTGTGAGTACCATAGTGTTTTAGTTACTATAGCTTTGTAATATATTTTGAAATCCAGCTTTGTTCTTCTTTTCTCAAGATCACTCTGGCTATTCTGGGTCTTCCGTGGTTCCACATGAATTTTATTATTGGTTTTTCTATTTTTGTAAACAATGCCATTGGGATTTTGATGATGATAGCATTAAATCTGTAGATCACTTTGGGTAATATGAACATTTTAACAATATTAAGTTATCTGATCCATGAACATGAGATATCTTTTCACCTATTTTTATGGTCTTTAATTTCTTTCATCAGTGTTTTGTAGTTTTCAGTGTATGAGTCTTCTACATCCTTTGTTAAGTTTACTCTTCTTTTTATGCTATTGTAAATGGGATTGTTTTTTAATTTACTTTTTTGGATGGGTTTTTGTTAGAGTATAGAAGTTCAACTGATTTTTGTGTGTTGATTTCATATCTTGCAACTTTACTGAATTCAATTATTATTTCTAACTTTTTTTGTGTGGAGTCTTTAGGATTTTGTACATAAAGGATTATGTCATCTGCAAACAGAAATAATTTTACTTTTTTTCTTTACAATTTAGATTGATTTTATTTCTTTTTCTTGCCTAATAGCTCTAGCTAGGACTTTCAGTATTATGTTGAACAGAAGTGACCAGAATGAGCATCCTGTATTGTTCCTGATCTTAGAAAAAAAGCTTTCAACTTTTCATCATTGATTATGATGTTGGCTATGGACTTGTCATAGGTGTTCTTTATTGTGTTGAGGTACATTCTTTTCTGTATCTTATTTGTTGAGAGTTTTTAATTGTAAAAAGGTGGTGAATTTTTCAAATGCTCTTTCTGCATTTCTTAAGATAATCATGTGATTTTTATTCTTCCTTCTGTTTACATGATGTATCATGTTTAGTGACTTGAGTGTGTTGAACAATCCTTGCATCCAAAGGATAAATCCCACTTAATTATGGTGTATGATCCTTTTAATGTGCTGTTGAATTCAGTTTGCTAGTATTTTGTTGAGAATTTTTGCATCTAGGTTCATCAGGGATATTGGCTTGCAATTTTCTTTCTTGTAGTGTGTTTTTCTGTCTTTGGTATCAGGGTAACATTGGCCTCATAAAATAAGTTTGAAAGTATTCTCTTATCTTTATTTTCTTTGGAAGAATTTGAGAAAGATCATCATTAATTCTTCAAATGTTTGGTAGAATTCACCTGTGAATCCGTCAGGTCCAGGGCCTTTCTTTTTCAGGGTTTTTTTGAGTATTTATTCAATTTCCATATTTGTTAGTGGTCTATTCAGACTTTGTATTTCTTTATGATTCAGTCTTTGTAGGTTGGGTATATCTAGGAATTTATCATTTTTTTCTAAGTTATTCCAATATACTCTTGATAGTAGTGCACACATGAAATAACTCTTATTACTTTTCCATAACTTTCCCTGAGTTTGCTCTGTTGGCCACACATCTCACTGCCAAAGTGAAGATTCTGAGACCACAGCTTTTCTTCACTTCTAGGTATCAACAAATAGTCTTCTACGTATCAACAAACAGTCTCTTTCAGGAATTAATATGTCCAGTCTCATAAAATATAAAATAGCAATCTGTTTTCATTTGGTGTGGAACAAATCAGATGACAGATTTGTTAAGAACAGTAGCTCTGGGATTGAACTATCTGGGTTCCAGTGCTCACTTTTTGTCACCTCCTAGCTGTGTGAACTTGAACAAGTCATTGACTCTTTAATTTATCTGTAGAGTGGGAAAAATAATAGTATCTATCTCATAGGGTTTTTATGAGAATTACACTATTAGTACATGTAAAGCACTTAAAACAGTACCCAGGAGATGGTAAGTGCTATATAAGTGTTGTTTACTGCTTCTTACCCCTCTTCCCCACAACCCAAGCTTGGGTATGAGGTGTGGGAAAGAGGAGTATGGTCAGTTATTTTGTTCAGCTGTTTCAGAAATGGCTGTAGGAGATGGAGGTGAGGAGGAGGCAGAGTGGAACTTAATTTTTATTGATTTAGTGATATTTATAATGATCTTTTCTGTTGAAAGCCTTTTGATATTGCTGCCATGTATGGGCTGGTTCTTTCCTACTTGAGGGACTGCTGAGATATGGTTACCTGCAACCACCACCCACCACCTGCAATTCTCCCCCTCCCCCATTTTCTGCATTGCACCATTCTCTGATTTGAATAATTCAGTCTTTAGCTGATAGCTTGTAACTTCTTTTTTACTCTTTCCCCAAAGGGTTAGAATGCAAAAGTATTTATGATTAGGCCCTCAAAGCTGAGAATTGCTTTGGATGTGTTAATAAATTTTAATATGATGCATTCTAATTGTTATTATTTTCCTAATTCATTTGAAATTTTATCTTTAAAATTTCCTTTTTGACCAAATTATCACTTAAAAGAGTATTTTTAATCTGTAAAAAACCTGAGGTTTCTTTACTTTTTTATTATTAACATGTATTTCATTCCATTATAGAGAGAAATTTCTATATGCTTACTGTATTTTGAATAGATTGTAGGAGACTAGTTGGAAAGTTATTGGGATAACCTAGGTGAAAGCTGACAATGACCTGAACCAGATATCAATTGTTGAATTCTAGATATATTTTAGAAGGTAGACTGAAAAGCACTTACTGATGAATTAAATGTGAGAGGAAAAAGATTTAAGAATGACTCCAGGGTTTTGCTCCTGAGGCACTGGAAAGACAGAAGTGGCATAAATGCAGATGACGATGGCTGCCAGACTTGCAGGCTGGGACAAGAACCGGTAGATTAGATTGGAGTATAAATTTAAAATGCTTGTGAGACATCCAGGTGATGTCAAGTAGATGGGTGGGGGTACAATCATTTCAGGGATAAGATCTGGGAGATAAACATTTGGCAGTTATATTTAAAGCAATGAGATGGGATGAGTTTATCCAGATAAAGTATATCTATAGGAGAGAAGAGGTCCAAGAATTAAGCCTAGGGCAGTCCAGCATTAAGATGTGGGGAACAGTAGTAGCCAGTGACCTATTCATAAAACGAATCTGATCATCAAGCACCATCCC